TTCTCATGGAAAATTCTATACTATTGAGAGTAGACTTTGTTCATTTGACAGATTGCGGTTCTAAATTTCAGATACTTCCAACCAAGTTCATTTGTTTGACGAACAAAGGGGTTTTTATAAAAAAAAATTTGGTAGAGAAATTGTTGTCGCTTTAAACTGTTGCTAATTCAATATTTATAAAAATATATTCAAATTTTTAGTCCTGTTTTAGTTCCAAAGCAACCTATTTTCTTTTGAGTAATTTGGTGCCTTAAAGCTTAATCGATGTGCCGTATTTGAAAAAATCCCCGGGACTGTAAAGCGGTCGAATTTTGAAAGTAACTGGCACTCATGGTATCGCTAATTCTACAAACAATGATGATTTACTCTCTTCCAGGCACTTCTGGAAGGTCAGTGACGTCCATCGTTATATTCCGCTATCGGCCTTAGTGTTACTAGAAATTTGGTGGTCAGTAGGGCTACCTACATTTTCTCCTCCTTTCTGACTTAGCTATTGCTTAGACGCTTAGCTATATCGGCCTGAGGATTTCAAATTTTCCTGTAAAACCTGGCTGCCACCAGCGTGAGGGAAATCCCTTTATAGAAATTAGTAAAACTATTCACTTTGGCTTTGTGAATTTTCTTTTAATCGGCGGGTAAAAATAACGCGTATAGGTCTCAGTACTCGACACGCTTTGCCCGATTGGAAAATAGAACGAAAAAGAGGCTGAACAAATTTGCCGGAACGTTTACACAATGGCTTTCTGTGTAATGAAATAGAGAAGGGAAAAAATTACTTTCGTAAGATCACCAAAAAGCTAAAGAGATATCTCCAAGTTACATGCTCTGAAGATTAGTAGAAGAATTTTGAATAAAAGCCAATTTCAATAAAAACCAATTTAATGATTTAATGTTATTCGAAGGAGCTGCATAAACGCTTACTGTAACCGTGCAATAAACCCCCAAAGACGGCATCCGGCATAAACTCATTGTTAGCAATTAATATTTAACGCTTTTGAAAATTGTGTAAGCGCGCTAATCGCATGCCTAATTGATTTTGCTATGTAATTGATTTAAGCTTCTGCTGATGTCATATCGCCACTGCCACCGCTGTAGCCACCAAAGTCGATTGGTGGCATTTTGTAACATTTTCGATGTTGGCTAGCAGCATCGTGAAATGTCATCGTCAGCGCTTGAAAGGCAACGGCGAAAAGAAGTCAAAGTGGTGGCGGCAGCAAGGAGGACAACCACAGCAACCAACGTCATTGGAGCAAAATTTGCCGCGCAACCTGACCGACCATCAACGTCACCAAATATGTATATATGTATGTATATATGTACGTATTTGTCAAATGGGATTGCTGCTGCTCCTGCATTACGGGGCGTCAGTGTGCACCGCACTTGGCTTAGCTGCTATTTTTACAGCATAAATTTAATTTGGAAATTTTGCGCAGCGCTATGCGTCAGTCACTTCGTCACTTCACTTCTCATTCAATTCAATTCACTGCAGAAGGTGGTGCTTATTTGATGGCATGCCATTTTTGCTTCTGTTTTTTTTTGCCTTCAAGCAAAAATTTTCCACAAACAATATTCAGCTGCAGCTGAAATCCGTCGGTCGCTCGATCATCAATCACTTCGAGGTGCCAGCGTTGGCAACTGGGGGCGGAGTCAAAAGGTGCAAAGAAGCGCTAAAGATTAAACGTAAATTTAGCGGTGGATTTTTTTATATCTTTTTTTTGGCTTTTACTTATGTACATAGAAAGTATGGTGTGTGGTAGCTGATGTGGTGTAAGTAAATTAAGAAAGCCAAAGATGCGGCAATGAGGAAGGAAGTGTAGCAGGATATGGAGTATGACGTTAAAAAATAAAAACGTTTAAGCTTAGAAGACGACATAAACAGGGTTCTAGAAAAATATTAAATAAATATTTTATATCTCATCGTAAATTTTTACTTTAAACGAGCAATTCTAATTGTTCGCCTTTGCACATTTTTCTTCATAACTTCGGCATTTACAGTCGGATTTTTAAGTATAATAAGTATACCGATGTTCTTGTCTCGAGGAGACAAGTCTTTTTATTTCAAAGTTCATTGCATTCAAGTACCCCAATCTAGTACTTACCAGCCATATTTCGTATTTTGCTGTCAATAAATTGAAGCCTGCAAAAAATCATTAACCCTTGCTAGGGCAGTACATATTTCGACCGGTTTATATAATGCCATATATGGATTCTTCTTAGGAATTTAAAAAAACAAAACTTCCTTATCGATATATTACGCCTTAGGGACGCTAAAATTACATAAAAAACGCCGAGACACGAAAACTTAATTTTGTGTCGTAGATTACGGATCCGTTTTATAGCAGATCAGGTAATTTTCCCCAAGACATTTTCATTTTAAGTTTCTATTGAGAATGAATAAAAAATTCAGACTTTAACATGGAAAATGTTACTCAAACGACATGTGAGCCATTTATTTTGAAAGTGGCAGAAATCACCTTTTTAAAAAAATTGAGTTAATTATAACACTAATTATAATTTAACGATAATTCAATCGATATTTTTATAGATTTTGTTGTCGATATTATTATCCATTTTGTCATCGATATTTTGATCGATTTTGGCATCGATATTTTCGTCGCTTTTGTTATCGATATTTTTATTGATTTGGTATCGACTTTGTTATCGATTTAGTAATCGATTTTTTGATAGATTTAATAACTGATTTTGTAATCGATTTAGTTAATGATTTTGTTATCGATATTTATATCGATTTTGCTATCGATATTATCTTTTGTTATCGATCCATGTTATCCATTTTTTTGTAGTGTGTGCTTTCGTTTTTGACTTGGATATGCTCTTAACCATACCACGTATTCTACGTTTAAATTTAGCGGCTGTATCTCCGATATAGTCTGCAGACCTTTCATTTGATACCCATATTTTGTACAAGAATGACAGAATTCAAGATTTCGCCCATCAGAGAGGATTTTTGAGCGTAATTTTTGCATATTCGTTGCATTTGCGTGACGTCATTTTGGTGCAATTGTGAGAGAGACAAGTAAAACTCGAAGAAAAAAATGTAAACAACGCGGAAAAATGTGTTAATACTTAATATTCAATGGTCAAATTTTACAGGAATTAATAAATATGCAAAATTTAATTAAATACGAACACGTAGCAAGGATTTTGGGCATGTAGCCCTTGAGGTAAGTACGATTTTGATGATGTTATATTTACTTAGATATTTACAGAAAAAGAACTTACTTATATCGCACGCTAGCCATTTGTTTTCACTTATACATTTTGCCTAGTAATAGAGCTGTTCAGGATGCATATGTTCTTGGATTTGCATATTCGTTGCATTTGTAAATTCCCAACAATAAAATGCGCATGGTTGCCATGACAGCAAGCAAAAAATTTGCAAATGCAATTCCAACTGCAAATCCAAGACTATTTCCACAACATCCTGAACAGCCCTTATGTTTCCATAATTGTGTAAAACTATGCAGAAATATTAACGCACAAATAGTTATTTAAATTGGAAATGTTTAGCTATTTGCCCACTGTTATTATGGGCTAGTGGGCGAAGGGAGAGGGACGTGGTTCTTGATGTCCACCCAGTAGAAAGGGCACAGTTCACACTTTGTAAAAAGTTACACCTGACCCCTCGAAGCTTTCCACAGACCCCTGGGGTACCGACGGAAAATGGTCTAAAATTAGCATTTAGCCACCGGATTTTAAACTTGATAAACATTATTTTTGTGCAAAACACCTTTCTATTGTCAAAGGTATTCAACATTTCTTGTGCATATAACTCGGCTACGCCACCCGAGTTTATTAATAAATGAGTGATCGAAAATTAGAAAATTAGGTTTTACAAGTGTGTGTTAATTTTTTGACACACACAATATTTTAGTTTATCAACATACTATATCGACGGTTGAGTGGTAGATATACCTACATATCTCGGCAACCGGTTAAAAAATGCCCTATTTTAGAAAATGGCTCAAGAACGCTCCACTTCAGAATTTGGTCGAAGAACGTCCTGCCTCAGATTTGGATTGAAAAATGCCCTATCTCAAAAGCTTTGTTTTACGAATACTCATTTAAGTGTAGAATAAATATTTAACTCACCCTGTATCTATACTAACATCGCTTTCGTTGACTTCTAAGTTATTCCAGTTCTAAAAATATCCTTAAAAGTGAAAGCATTCACATGCAAATCCTATTAAATAACAATTAAAAATCGCAAATCCGCAAAATATGACGTTTTCTCAAATTCTTTATACACTACCTACGCACTGACTTTCGGCCGAGAATTTTTAATAAAGCAGATTATGATGAAAGACTGGCACAGCGTATGCACATTACATAACAATGTTCACAGGAACATGTGAAAAAATGTTTACATGCGTGTGTAGATGTGCTTTCTCAAGGCCATGTTAAACATCTCTGCACCGTTCCAATTTTAGTATAATGGTCTCAAACATGAGGATGGGAACAATAAGGCCGGTGTGATTGACCCTATATTTCAAAAATACCTCATATTTTTCATAATTTTTTTTATTTTAATTGTAGGATTAATGTTTTCGCTATTGATTTTTTATTTTATATATATACTAGGGTGGTACTTAAATGTAGGAAGCAAACTTTTACATCACATTTCCTAAGCCTCAACCCTTACGTCGATGCTACTATAGTCAAGGATATCACACATAAATTTTGGTCGCGATTGGAGGCGGTTAAGGAGTGTAGCATAAGGGTAAAATTTCAGATTACCCTATGAAGACGCCTTAACCGACTCCATTCGAGATCAAAACTTATATATTTATGATATCTTGTGATACCCTCGACTTTAGTAGTATCGAATTTGGGTATTACATAATAAACAAATGAATTCGAATTCCTAACTGAGTTTCAGTTACATAAAAAGCTTTATTTAAACACACAATTCACACACAATAGAAATACATACCGTTAAAGAAATAAATTAATTGTTTCATTTAAAAACTATTAGCAGTTCAATGCCAATGGCACAAGACATGAGCAATCATCAGATAGACGGTGATGCTCAACACACACACCAACATAATGGGAAACCCCACTTTGCAGTAATACAAGAAGGGAAAGTTGTAGCCATGCTTCTCCGCCAAACCCGCACAGATGACATTTGCATAGGTGCCACTAATTGTGCTAATGCCGCCCAGACCAGTGCCAAATATGACTGCCCAAATAAGTGGCTGCACCGGCAAATGCTCCTGTTCTATATCCTCAGTGGCAAGTATTACAGCATGCAACATCATGGGGCTAACCGAGGAGTTGGTGAGAAAGGCAGCACAAAATGCCGAAAACCACAAGACGATTAAAATGGCAACACTTAGGCGTGCGCTAGAGCTGCTATGCCTAATAAGATTGCCCATCACATTGCCAATCACATTGAAGAGCCCCAATTGCGAGGTAGCCTCAGAGAAGACGAACACGCAGGCGAGAAAAAGCATCGTCGACCACTCAATGCGACCGAGTATACCATCAAAGTCCTCGGTGTCTGCCAGTATGAGCAGCAATATGCAGGCGAGCAGTGCGGTCCATGCTGTGGAAAGATAGTGCACATTGGGAAAGAGATGCAGCGAGATGAGCACAAACACGAAGAAGAATACAAAGCAGCATTTGATGAGCAGTACTGAGTTGGTTATCTTAAATTTTGCCTTGAGTGCGCTCACCGTCTCCTTGTAGTCCGACGAGGGTGCTGGCATTTTGCCAATTCGCTTCAAGCGTCTGCGCAGTCGGCGCACTTTCGACAACACCGTTGCACGCATGGCTTTCTCGTCCTGCGAATAGGGGCTTATACTCTTGGCCGTACGCGACCAAACTTTAATGACGCGACGTAAACGCTCTACTTCGGTGCCGTCCCTAAAGCGCATACTGTTCGAATCGTTATAGATGATACGCATATAGACGTAGGCGCTGGCGCCCGCAATCAGCGTACCTGGTAAGATGTGCTCGATGAAGACGAGCCAGTCAATGCCCTCGCGGCGTAGTACCTCATATTGTGTAACATAGTCGCTCGGTGTCTCACCATTTGGCGTCAGCGTAGCACCGACATTCGACGAGATGATCAGGCAGGTGAGCAATGGCAACGGATTTAGTTCCATCAATTCGCAAATGCGCATCGTAATCGGCGCAATGAGCAGCGTCATGAGTATGCTGTCAAACAGCGAAGAGCCAACAAATGTGATGAGACAAAGGCAATTTAGTATTGGCCAAATATGGCCATTCGAAATCTCGTATATGCGTACGGTGAGATAGTCGATGATGCCGGTCTCTGCCAAAATGGCAATGATGAGCGTAAAGCCAAAGAGTAGCAACAGCACCTCAAAGTTGATCCAGCTGATGATGGTGCGCAACGAAGGACGTAGATTGAGCACCGCGAGCATGCTTATCGAGAGCGTACAAAAGATGATGACGGCCAGCGCTCGATGCACAATATCCAGCATGAGCACTATATAGAAGCCCATGACCAGTATTAAGGCAATAGCAATGCCAATTTCCAAATTGATAGGCGTCGGCTCGTAATAGAATCCCAGTGAGAGTGGTTCTACTATATTTGTTTGTAAGCTAATTAGTAGCTTTTTGCTGCCATTTGCTGATAGATTCTGCAAAGTGAAGAGTTTTGTTCGCTCTATGAGATGTATTTGCTGCAAATCCGTCGAATTAACTAAATTCAAGACCCACATTTTGCTGACATCATGCGGCGCCATTCCATTATGCCCCGCTTGCACCAGCTTAATGGTCAAAGTGCTTTTATGCTCGCCCATTTCAATTAGCTCAGCTTTAGAAATCATTACAAATGGACCCGTTAACTTGATGAAGAATCCTGTCGCTGTGGACTCCTCCGGCACATGAAATATCTTCGTCGTGCCATTTGGCACACAAATAAAATTCTCAACGGTATGTTCGTGTTCGCCTTTGATCAACAGTAGACTAGTAAAGATAATCCAAAACACAAAGAGCACAGCGATTTTTACTATGCGCATATATTTACTCTTCTTTCTTTGCTTGGCTACTTGCACATCAGCATCGGTCTCATCCTCCTCAGCCGCTGAAGAAAACGAAGTTACGCTCAGGTCGTCGTAAGCGGAGGCGGCACCGCCGTGCAAGCGTTGATCTCGTTCTCCATCTAACGCCTCGGTTTGTGAGACTTTTACAGCTGCATTTACAGCAGATTTCGGCATTCTTTTGTTTAAGCTGCGCCATTCGACAAATTCTATATCGGACTCCAGGGAATCGTGGTCGTCCGCTTCATCTTGCCTCGCTGTCGTCATTTGCGTACTGTGCTTAATATAGGAATGCCAAAACGGTCGCAGCGGATTGCGCACTTTGGCGTTTTGAATTGAATTCGAAGTTTTTAATTTTTTTCTTCAATAATTTTGGAAAATAAATTTTTGTTTCGACTTTTTGTACCGATTTTTCTTACATTGGCAGGAAATGAAAAGCGCAAATGATTTTGTTACGATGAATTTTGGGTTCTGTTTTTGGAACTCATTGGCGGGGTTGCCTAAATTAGTGCAAAATAAGTTGGTATCGATGCATGGGAAAATTGTGGTCTAAAAAGTCGAAAGATTATTAAAATGATACGCACTTACATAGCAAATTTCACTTTCAATAAAAATTCTTCTTGAACCCAAGCCAAAAGAGGAATTGTATCTCCCATTAAAGAGCACCGAGATCTGATTTCTCGAAATGCTTCAACTTCACATACATAAACTGTCTGCATACAGTTAATTTTCTAGTCGATTCTTTGATTCCCCCAAAGTATAGCCTTGTAAATGGAATTCACTCGGACGCAGTCGACAAAAATCGGCAGAATTTAAGTGAGTTTATTTATTCGATTACTGACCTTTTGAAGCTTTTGCTGTATGCGATTATTGTCGGCTAGTGTAAATGTTTTGGCAACTCTATTTCTGAGACAATTTTCCAGTGGACAAAAATCAGCTCATGAGAAGGGAGTTTTATGAATACTAGGAAAGAGGCCGGCAGGTGAATTATGGAAGTCACTCGACTTTACGGGAAACTAAATATATATGCTTTTTTATAGAGATGGAAAATTTAACCCAAAAAATCCGTCTTTTTCTGTCCGGTTTTCCCCGAACACTATGACAGTATGAACGTAAGTGTCCTCGTGTCTAGTGCTGCCTAATTTCTGCTTAAACACTGCAGACTGGCCTCCTCGCACGCTCTAAGCGCCAAAGCTTCTTTCAATCTTTGTCGTTGATCACTGAATCACGGACAAGTACATATGGCATGCCCTACGTCTTCGTAGGTGTCCGGGCCACAAATTTCGCAAAAAGGATATTCCTCGTGCCCGAAGCGATGGAGATAATTTTTAAAGCTACCATGGCCGCCAATAACTTGCGTGAGATAGTAGTCTACCACGCCGTGCTTCCTACTAAGCCATATTTCAAGCCTAAGAATGAGCCGATGAGTCCATCACATCTTGCTTTCCGCTGTGTCATACCCTGTTATCTTTTTCAGCTCCTGCAAGCCTCGCGATCAGTGTTTGGAAGATCTCGTTTTGCTATATAAAGCTCGTGTTTCTCTTGTGTGGCCATATAAATTCGGTATAACTCTGCTATAACAAGAGCAGCACCTTCCGACACCATTCTAAATGCAGAGCACACACATAGAGTACAACGACGATATGTGGAGAAGAAAATTCAACGCGGTAGCTCCAGATTGTTATTAGTTGACTACAAACGTAGAGTCGTTTCAGAGTATTCCGGACTATGTGCTAACTGTTCTGCAAATAATTAGTATTCTACCTACCACTGCGCTATAAATTATAGTTGCTTTTAAATATTACGGAAATCTGAGGAATAAGCCTTTACTTGTGCCAACCGCCTTTAGTCGAATTGCGAAAGATACCCCATAAGACTATATTCTTAGTCATCTAAACCAGCTGTATACTTGAATGGAGATTAGTTGCGATTGCTATGCCCTACCAGCCTAAATGACGGCGAAAATACTTTAAAAACTACACACGGTTTGGGGCATCGGTTTTGTCTATCTTTCCTTTAAATACCCTGTCAAACAAAGTCCTCGAGGTTATGACTTAATACACAAACCCTTATTAAAAGGGGTGTAGCTTAACCGCAATTATATTTAAGTTAAACTCAAGGTCGTTGCATTTACCCTGAATACGAATGAAGGCTGCAAGGTCATTCAATTATTCAGCTGGCATAGTTTATCGGAAAATTCCTGATCTTCCTTCATGACCATCCTCCACAAACGAGAGAGTCTGATCGACTTCAAACTGACACGAAACGTGAGAGGTAGTTGTACCTGTTGGCAGCAAACAAGGCCCATAGGTATCTTGAAGTACGATCCATCTGAGGAGCCCGTTTCAGACAAGAGAGACATCCACCTGTGTGCAATAAAAGTTGTGAGCCAGGCAGCGCCACGAAAGTATGACGCCGAAAAGCTGCAATCGCAACGGTTAGCGGAGAAATTTCTCATGCAGCTTTCAGCCCTGCTTAAACAATCCACTTCTCTTCAGCTTAATATAAATGAGAAGTGGCATATTTTCTCACAATCTCCATGAAATGCTGGGGAAGAGATCAGTGGCTACTAGCGTCCACGCAGATCACGTCTTGAAACGCTGCTGCATGGAAATATCCAACTGATTGGGCTTTACCAGTCCTGGCAAATTCGCGCGGAAAATATAGCTTCGTGAACGGTAGCGCAATGCTAGCAACCAAAAGATCTATGTGGCACAGCAAGCCAACTACATTAACCTAACCCTTCTTAATTCTTCAAAGCATTTTAGGAGTATAGCTTCCCAGTGACTCTCTCTCGAGGACATCGCATATCCTTACTTAATCTCGATTATAAAAGGGCACATGTCACCCCAAATACAAAGGGAATCTTTCATAATGCTATCTCTGGAAATATTTCTGATACAGTACCGGAACTTGGTATGGAGATCTATAAAATCAAATTCATATTCATGGAAGAGGGCTGTACTTTGAGTTGTACTTTGAAAATATTTTGGAAAGGGGTGCCACCTGTTCGAAAAGTTAAATTTTAATTAATTAATAGCAATTTATCTGAAAAATTAAACTACACGTAGGAGGGTTGCCACCTGCGACTTGAATTGAGGGAATTAGGTAATTGGAATATATATTACAATATGGGTATCAGACGTAAACTGCTTTCCTTAGGTTTTAGTTGGAAAATATTTCGAAGAGGGTTGCCGCCTGTTTTAAAAGTCGAATTTAAATTAATTTTGTGTTCGTATAGAATAGCAGCTTATGTCGAAAGGGCTGGCTTTAGTATAATGCGACATTCGCAGCACACGATTGCGAATGACTCACTAGCGCCGAGCCGTTGAAGAGCTTTTGGCAAAAAACGTGCAAGAAATAGTTCCGATACTAGCAAGTCAATATTCTTATTAAGTCTCATCAAAAAATTTCTTGTCGTTTAAAGAATAAAGGGAATGCCGCATTATACTAAAGCCAAGTTCCCAATATAAGCTACTATTCCATATGAACACAGAATTATATTCAAGGTAAAGTGTCAAATTGAAATACAATTATATTATAAGTTAAATACAATTATATTATAAGTTAAAAAGTTATTATTATATACGTTTTAATCAAAAGAGGCTTGATAAGGTTTTATTTCTAAGCTACATGTGTATAGCAGGGTTTCCACATATGCTTTAAAAGTCCAATTTAACTTGAATTATTGGAATTACTTGGGTAATTTGAATACAAATGTATATATGACAATGGCTTCGTTTCTTTATACATTCCGGATAATCTCATTTCACAGCCGGAATAAACAGAATGTGTTTGAAATATACGTTAACATATCATTAGGAACGTTCTAAAGAATAAGTAAACAAAAAAGTTTATTCCAAACGTTCAGAATGAATAAAGAAATTCAGCCAATATTAGCATCAGATAAAGGGGGTTTAAAAAGGTTGCCAACTATTTAAAAGGTTCATTTCTAAACTGTATGTAAGTAAGAAAAAGTATCACAAGAAGAGGTTTAAGTAAGTTTTAGTTTAAAAATATTTTGAAGACGGTTAGAAAAATTTTGTATCCTCTGTTTTTTTGCTTAGTTTAACAGCCGGTTTCACCAGCAGTTTAAATGGAAAATAATTTTTTATTTTCTGTCAATTTCCACATAAAATTTAAACAATTAAAATCATTTTTCACTTAAATGGCCTTCGTGCAATTGGCTGTAAGTAGGTTGAGTTTAATTGAAATAAACTAGCACGCAGAAATTTCATGCACTCAGCGAAGCGGTTGAGGGCGTCTAGTATTTTAAATAATTTTACAAACATTTTTTTATGAAATAAATATCTTCACAAATCCTAAACATATTCACTAAAATGCGACAATCGGGTATTGCAAAGGAGAAAACTTCACAGCGACTATCAACTTCAGTGTCATCCAAAAATTGCAAACTTGTCAGTTGCAATGAAATATACCCAATAGTCATGCACTCTTTCTGAATTTTTTATTTCTTGGAAATATGTTGAAAAGAAAAACAGAAAAGGTAAAAGGAAAATAGAAACAAACTGCACTACAAGAACTTATGTACTTTGCATACATTTTTTATTTTTCATACTTTCGCATTTTCTTCCATACTTCAAGTTTCAACACTTTATCCTCTTCTAATGGAGTGGCACTCTCATGCCGACACCTTTAAACGAACTTTGCTGGTGCTGCTGTGTGAAAATAACTAACGACATGTGTGAATTTCGGTTTCAGTTCACTCACTCAAAAACGCTTACCTTTCCCGCTTCAAATTCAACACGATTTTTGGTTGCTGTGGTGCGTCACCAAAAGCGGCATTCGCCACAAAAGCTACCAACCCACTAAGGATACCTCAAACACCTCAATTTACACGTAAGCACACACACACACACACACAGGTGCATACACAGCTTGCCAGCCGCTCTGTGGGCAACTCAATTTGCATGCCATCCGCGTGGAGGCTCTTGTTTATTTGAGGGCGAGTGGGTTAATGCCATAGCTTATCTCAGGCGTCCCACGCAGAAAAGGTTTAAAACAAATTTCAACACGTCAGCGGAGGAAAAAAGCGAAATTAAAGCATCTGGTATATTTATCCCACTTTTGGGTGATATTTTTGACACCTCTCAAGCTGATAACTGGTATTACGCATTTATTTGTATGTGTGGTGGAGTGCTGGAGGTATTTTGAATTCTAAGCGCATGATTAGGAATACACACATATGTATGTATGTTAATATGTATCGTACCAATTTATGACGCATTCTTCGTAAATTGAAACCC